CCCTTCTCTTCCCCTTCCCTTCCCTCTTCTGCTTTGGCACAAGCTTTACAGCAGGGACAAGGTCACAGCCCTTGACCTTGCTGTGGCAGATTGCGTTAATAACTGGGAGATGGGCAAAAACCCCCACCCCGGATTCATCAGCTGGTGCTCACAAGCCAGAAACGCGGAGCTTTCTGTTTGGAAACTCAGAGAAAGATGAATTTCCAGAATCAGGGTCAGATTCTTGCACCGATGCAAAAAAGGAAAGTGCCAGGGGCTGCGTCTCGCTGCCTCGCGTCGGAGCAGCTCATCTGGATTCGCAGCCGTGTAAATGAGAGCCCGGCTTGAGTCAGGCTCCCGGGGCGAAGGCGCCCGTCTGCCCGGGTGCTCGGCCATCAAAGTGCTGCTCTCCCACGCCGGTGGCCACGCAGCATCCTGGCTGGAGCTCGTGGCGAAGCGCTGAGCCCAGGGAGGATTTGGGAGGAAAAATGAGTCAGAAACATGCAGAAAGCGGAGAAACTCCAGTGGGGCCTTCTCAGAGCTGGGCTGGGGCTGATATCTGCGCAGCTTGAAGTCGCAATAATGGGCTGCTGAGAGGAAACGGTGGCTTTTCTCCTCTTGCATTGGAGTAAAAGGGTTTCTGTGAGTGCTGGGGAAAGGCTGGTAAAATCAGCCTCCTCTATCCACGTCGCCAGTGTGAAATTGTGCACCGGGTCGTGCCCAGCTCTGGTCTGTCGTGCGCGGGAGGAGGCGGCGGGGACCGGGGACATGGAGATGCAGGGATGTGACAGGGTGTTGGGATCAGGACGTGGGGAGGGAGGGAGGAAGCGTTCAACTCCCACCAAATATCGGCCCAGGAGATGTTTCAGACCGAGCCAATGACTTGGTACATCTGCCCTCCCAAGGCTGAGCTGTCTGGGGCAGCATTATTGAGGAGCCTTTCTATCTTAGAGCTTTCCTGTCTTCTCAAAACAGCAAGGATTTAGTTCAGTTTAATTACAATCACTCTGGTAAGTGGAAATTTTACATTTATGGATATCAACGGAAAGGCTGTGCTGACCCTGCAGGGACTTCCCGGTGGTGGGAAGTCACCTCCGCGCGGTGACCTGGGTGCAGCGGAGACCGACGGTGCTGGAGGCAAAACTGGGTATTTTAGGTGAAATCCCAGCCCTGCTGAGCAAACAGCAGTGGCCCCTTCGCTGACGGAGTTGCACCTGGGACAGCAAACAGGACAGAGCCGAGCACCCGAGGAGCTCCAAGACCTCATCCCTGGTCCTTGTCCCAGCCCTGGTAGGTTGGGAGATGCCCCGGATCGGGGCCGGTGCATCGAGCGTGGGTGTGCGTGGCGTGGCTGGAGGGTGCGGCGGTTGTACCCACCTCAGCTGCCGCCGGCTGCCCCGGCTCTGTTTTTATTGTGCAAGGAGATTTATGGTGTATTTAATCTATTTAAGCGGGGTGTGTGTTCGCTTATGATTTATTAGATGGCGGCATAAATGCGGCGTCCCGCCTGTCGTGCGATGTGCTGGCTCCTACGGCCACGTTAGAGGCGAGGATTGGGACCGCAGAGCCCCGCGCCCAGAGCA